TGTGCAATCTTTGGTACATATAACGCGATTCAAAACAGTTGTTGTGAAACGAACTGTGATGGACTTTCTTCAGTTGGAATGTAACATCGCCAGATACTTCTCGCCCTTCCCGGGGCTGTAGAATAGAAGCTTACGGGAAGGGGCGAGGCCATATTAAATCCTCCCAGGTCGCCACCTTTCAAAGACGACTTCCCCACGTGCCGGCCCTCCCTTTGGAATGAAGCGACCCGTGTAAATAGCTTCGAGTCGACCATCGTCTTGACACTGCCATTCAGTCGAGGCCAGACTTGGAAGTAATCCGTTACAAGTAACGGGATTACTCGTAATTAATTACTTTTCTTGTAATTTAGTAATTAATCCGTTACTTTTTGAAAATGTAATTTGTAATGTAATCTCATTACTTTTTCAGTAACGAATTTCTGAAATTACTCGTTACAATTCTTCCGTCCTATCAAAGAGAAAAAAATAGTGGGAGGAGGGTGATGCAACGGCCTTCGCGCTTTTAGCATGCTAACACAAGACTCGGCTGAGGTGCTGGCGTGGGAAAGGAGAGGAATTCACGCAAACCAAGAGAGCCAAGCCAGAGCCAGTTTCGGGACCCGTTCGTACGGTCAGCCAAGCTGGGCGGATTCGACTGTCTACATGAAGGCAACAGGCCTCGACTTCTTGGAAAACGAAGGGACTGCTTCGAGGGCACAAAAGAGCAGAAAACTAATGGCCCATAAAACCGTCGCGTAGGGTTCGTGAGGACTAGGGCCGCGAACACTATGACCGTGGTGCATACTTCCGCTCCCCTCCTTTCTTCCGCATCCCTCTGAGTTTTGTCCCCCAAAAACCAATCAGTGATGTTTTTTTTTTCGTTTTGTTTTGTTGTTGTTACACAAAACCGTCTTTTGCTTGTCAATGTTCCTGCCTAGACACGCCCCCCTTCCCCCGGGCCAACACGAAAAAAAAAAAAAGCTCTACTAGGACCTCGCTCTGCTCACCCTTGACAGCGCTGTGAAAGCTAAATACTGGGTGGACCAACCAGCTATGTGGCTTCTATCACATGACTTTGCACTAGCAGACGCATAGGGCATAAACATAAGGGGTGCGATGGCAGGAGTTTATTGGAACAAAAAAAAAGTTGGCGTCAACCCTGCTGTCAGTTTAAAGGGATGCTGAACCGAAATTTTGGGTGGAAATTCTTGGTCGCAATGGCATACATAGCATGTCCTTTACTTCTAAATGACGTTGTTTTGAGCGAGAAGGCGCATAAAATTGAATAAACACGAAAAATACAATTTTACGCGACCCCTGGTGAGCGTCGTGGAAAGCTCGCTTCGTGACGCGCGCATTCTCATTCGCCTCAAAAGACAGACGGAGCCAAGCCAAGCCAGGCGCTAAGCCAGGTGGCGTTTGTTATTGTTAGTACCACGTGGGCTCTTCCCGCGTGATACTACTACCAGCCGCTTTGAGAACAGCCGCCGAGCGAAGAATCAAGGCCAACGAACGAGGAGAATGCGCGAAGGCACCAGGGGCGCTGGGGGCGCCGAGAATGCGCACGTCAGTTCCGCTACGCCTGCTCTCAGAAGGACTCGCTCGCGCCGGCGGTTTCCGGCCGAGGATTCGCTCTTAATTCAAAGAAATACAATAATTCGGGCCCCATCCGTCGGATTGAATATCGTTTTTAGGTACAGTACCATCCCTTGAAGCCCGCTCGGGCAATAATTATGAGATTTCAAATATCGGTTCAGCATCCCTTTAAACTGTAGCTTTGGACAGCAGGCAATACGCTGGGCAGGGAGCACAAGAAAACGGCTTGGGACATCCAAGCTAGGGTCCTCGTCAGCGGATTGCGCCTGCGGGAACTTGAACCGAAATTTTAGGGAAAGGGAACACCAGCCCGAGTTTTCTGAGAATAAACAGTGGCTGACTTGGACACTGGTGTTGAGAAACCGCCTGTAAACGCGTGAAAGACATGGAAGCGCGCTGTTCACTGAAAATAGTGTTTTTTTTTAAATAATTTATAAACGGTATAATCAGTGCAGCTGAGAGCTTGTGCATTAATATGCCGTGTGACGTCTTGGTTCTCATAAGTTTGGTGATCAAGAAAAAAGATCAAGTGTGCCATTTGGTCGTATAACAGCCTTCATAAAGAAACGGGAGTCTTTGAAATGTACCCAGACGTAAGTACCGCATCTTGGTCTCACAACCAGTCTGATTTATTAGGTAAACCAGCCCCTATTTAGGCAACACGCAGCAAACATACAAAAACCATATCTTCAGGGGAATAGTGTTTTGAAGCTCGCCGATTCCAAACTCGGATTAATTCGAACGGTGTGCTTGCCTCAACCGCCCAAGTGCATTCGTCGCAGGTTCGTGGGATTTAGCAGCGACACAGCGAAAGGCTCATTTATCTTGATTACCTGTTTAAGTCCTTTATAAATTTATAGATTCGTTCTTCTAAAATTATTATCCTAAAATGATGTGTACATAGTACTGATAGTGTTGCATTTTTTATTTAATTTTGATGAGGCTCGAAATTTTCCCCTTCAAACACGCAGTATACAGTGTCTGTTTCGTGCTTTTTTGGAGTAACGCAAAAGTAATCGAGTAAAGTAACGAAGTAATTAATCAACTACTTTTTACGGGGAGTAATTTGTAACGGTAATCCATTAATTTTTAGGCCAAGTAATTGTAACTGTAATTAATTACTTTTTTGAAGTAACGGGCGCAAGTCTGGTCGAGGCAACCTTTATGCCGAGCGAGCTTTGCACGCAAACGTGACCCTAATTATTGTCGTCGTCGCTCAGCTTTTCCTCTCTTGCGTCTGTCGCTGTCCGACCGACAGTTCCCGGCAGGGTCCAGAAGCGAGGAGCAAACTCGTTTAGCGCTCATGTCCGCCCGCGACTATTGTCGTCTGCTTCTTGCGGAGCCGGTTTCCGGCGATTGTTGTGCCCTCGCGAGGGAGGACCTCTTTTTCCGCCCCGGTTTGCCCGGGCCGAGTAGGAAGTCCTTATATAAATGGACAGCTAAGTGGGGAGCTGAAGTCGATTCGTCGTCCCCCTAAGATCACAATAGAGTGGAAGCTACCTAGTTTCCAGACGCAAGAATCGTGCTCACGTAACGGGTCTCTTTGTGCGCGCATGCGGAGAGGAACGCGCAGTAATCTTGTGTAAGGTCGGCAAACGATTGGTCGAGCCGTCTTTTAGTCCGCTGTCAAGCCGGGGCACAATAGACCCACGCGCGCTCCTAACCTAACGCCGCTGCGGTGGTACTGCTCCTTCGATCACGCTTCGCCTCACTCGAATCTGGAATCTACCCAGGCGCAGTGCCTGATATGTGCAAATTTGGAAATGTTCGTAAACAGCGCATTGGTGGATAGCGGTGGGTGGGTATAATCATAAAGATGTAGTATTTGAATTCGGTGGTCAGTTGCGCCGCCTAGCCACTGCGAGTGGGCGCACCAGCCGATGCCACCTAGCGGTAGTTATGTGAAGCGTAGAAACGGGGAGCCCGCAGCTATAGACCTTTCCAATGTTTACAAATCCACAGCTCAGCGTGCGATCTCCACAGCTCAGCACGCGCGTGTGCGTCGCTTCGGAAAGCGAGCAAACCACGCGCGATACGCACGAACACTGAAAATGAAACCGGCCAGCAGCCCTTTTCTGGAAAGGTCTATAGGGAGTATTCACTGGCGGCCATAGCTGCGTGCGCGACTGCTGAGCGCGTGCTGACGGCGAGTTTCCACAGTTCTTTTGCAACGTGCAGTCCGCGCCATAAAGAGTGCCGGTCTTAGCAGCTTATTGATGTCAGCTCGTTCTGAGCATGCGCTCTAAACAGCTCCCACAAATATGGCGCCCAGTGAATATTGCAAGTTGCCACGCGCCGCGAAAACCAGCGCGGACCAGCGACTAAAGGGCCATTCACACAATTGCGTTGAGTCCGACGGAGTGCTAGGGTTGCTATGGCAACCCTCGCACTCGGTCGGACTCAACGCAGCTGTGTGAATGGCCCTTTAAGCGTGAAACAGCCCAACGGAGACCAGGGGCCCTAAACTCGTCAAACACAAAGTTGGAGCAGAAAGTTCGTCTGACTTTCTGTTACTTTTCGTCTGACTTTTTTTATTGAACGTTTCAAGATCGTCTTCTTTTACTCTCTCCGTATTCTTTCGCGTATTCCAGTACTTATACGTTTACAGGATTGATTGAAGCAAGATCTTGCGCAAATTCTAAAACTTTTTTAATTTTTTTTTTTTTTTTGTATTAGGTCAACGTCGACAAGGATAACTCAGTGAATCGTAATTGCACGGAGTGAACTAAATCTGTGGTACTACGCTCGAGCTTAAGAATAACAATCGCATAGAAGGCAAATCGAACTCGAAAGGAAAATCGACATGACAGCGATCAGCCTCTAGTTTTGCCAGCGCGATAACCTAAGCACTTGCCGTTGTCGGGCTTATTTACACCCAATGTCTTCTTTTCGATCGTCGGTTTCTGTCTCGTAATTGCTTCACTCTGGCGACGCCACGCACACCGCCGTGTTGCCAACGGAGAACATACTAATAAACAAAACGAAAGAAACAGAATACAAGGAGGGAAATGAAAGCCTTCGGGTGTTGCTGGTGGGACTGCTTTCCGAACTCGGAATACCACGAGGAGAATCTCGGTGATTGCGAATTAATGGCTGGGGAACCCGGAATGATTGTCTCTGCTGCCCGAGGTACTGTAGGTGATATCGAAGTGTCTGCCAGGAACGAGGTCGCGGACACTTGAACGGACGCGTTCGACGAACTACGGAGGACAATGATCGTAGCTGCGAGCGTATGTCGGGATGTATTTGCGTTCTATAGCGACGCCATGCCCCTGTGCGCGTGATAACAGTACGTGCTTCTTTCGCTGTAGCCGCTCGGTCGCGTGCTGATTTGGGACGCACATTTAATTTGGAGAGAGCTTTGGGGGGTTACGATTACGCGCTGGTTGTTCTGCGCACTCACGTGTTTCTTTTGTCTTCTGCAGGACGAGACTGATGGCTCCGGGGAGCAAAGCGAGGAGGATATTCAGCGGAAGACGCAACGCAGGTGAGCACGCCCTTCTGTCCTCCGAGCATTCGGTTCGCGAGACGAGGCTTTACGTACGCTCCATAGGCGGAGCTGGTTTACCCTTTAGAGCTGTTGGCCGTTGCACCTTCGGGTATTGTTTCGCGCGAACCGTTCGCAAATCTTGCCGAAACTTTTGGACTTCATCGCAGGACGTCCTCAGCTGTAGAATTGGCAAGTTTCGAGTCAACTCAGGACTTGGAACTTAACGCGCAAGGAGTACACGATATTTAAGAAAGAAACAGGTAAGTGACACAAGGAAAAGAGGGTCCTGGATACAGAAGAGGGCAAAAAGGACATATCTGAGCTGTGTCGGTCTCCTGTTTCCAGAAATGTCGAGATGTATCGCTCAACTTTATTTAGACTCGTTATACGCGCGCATATCGGAACAACTGACTGATCATTCCCTAACGCGCCGTTGGAGCGGAAAACACATTTCTTGTTTCTCAAAGGCGCAGTTGTAAAAGGCGCGGCATTTGTATGAAAGTAACCGAGTCTGAGTGAACGGGGTTTCTTTCGGCTTGGAACGTCAATGTGTGCACTTGCTCTGTCGACTGGCGGACTGCCGACTTCAACCACCCTGTTTGGCGGCCTGCAGCATGCCTCGCCTGCCGCGCCTCTTGTCTTGAGTGTCCACAGCAGTGACACGCGACCTCCTGCGAACGTTTGTCGCTAAAATAAGAATCCCCCGACAGCGGTTTGACAATCACCGGGAATAACAGTATACGGTGCGTGCAACGCGCATGTCTGACCGGTGTGTTTATTATCGCGCCTGCCTCGATCCCGGCTATGGCCGAGCAGCGGAAGCGACAAACGCTTGTTCGGCTGCGGGTTCAGCTTGAGCAATACAAGGCCCGCGCATTACGTCATCGTCGGTGGACCCCTGACCGGCCCCATCCGGAGGGAAGAATTCCAGGCGTTCTGGAGTGGGACTGCCACGATGCCGGAGACAGTGTCAACGGGGTTCGGGAAAGGGGGGGGGGGGGGGGGGGGGGGGAGGGGGAGGTTAATCGATGTGCTAACTGAACGGGTGCATATACGGGGGACTGCGCCAGCACCGTCCGCCCGTGGCGAGCTTTTTCGGTGGCGCCGCCGTCGGTTCGGTGAAACCCCGCCAACACGAAAGTCGCATTTGGAGCGCCACTCGGGTGTTTGGTCAGCGAACAAAAGTGCGCCCGCACCTATAACCGGGCCGTTAGGTAACGCCGTGTTGGCCTTCACCGCGTGTGCCACTGCAGGCGCGACGCCAATATGCAATAAAGGCGCCAGGAACGCGCCCTTTGGACGCGAAGGGACCGAATTCGCCTTCCTGGAAGGTGTCCCGGTTCTTCTGGGTATTGAGACCTGTCGTAATCGGGGAACCGATTCGGTCACTTTGTCTTTTATTTTTACCGTCAAGTTGTGCGTGGTTTTGTTGGCCCATCTTGAGCGGGCCCTATTGGCTCGTTCGTGTTGTAAATGAGCCGTCCCAGACCATCCCGATGCTCACAGTGGATCCTGGAATATAGATCCTATTTACCCGACATCCATATATTCGCTTAAAAAACAAAACGAGACATTGCCCTTTGTATTTTTCTTATGCATGTATCGTCACTCATGCCCAACCCGTGGCTGAGGTTTGTAAACGCAGCAGTCATCTTTGTCCCAGTACCGAAAGTGTACTGATGTTTTATACCAAGAAAAGATACGTTCAAAGGGCTTCCGTTATTCTCCTATGGGTGTTAACGCGGATGAAAACTGTTTCCCTATTTAGAGTATCGTCAACCTCGTCGATGTATGACAGTTGGCACTGCTTTCGAACGCGCTTTCTTGGCGTCACAAAAAAACTGTAAAAATTAAAAAAAAAAAAAAAAAAAAAAAAAAAAAAAGACAGCATGAATATGTTGCTTTTGCTGCTGCTGGGTTTTGACCGCCATATCTTAGCGAGCGTGCGTTTCTTCTTAGTGTTCCCCGTCAAGAGTGCGAGCTTGCCACCTTCGACAACGCTTCAGCATCTGGTAGGACTCGAGTTGGCACGCGCAGCCGAGGCACCGCGGAAGTCCACGAGCGCGTTCCGGGAACTTTCGAAAGAGACGCCCTGCCGTTCGCGAGGTATTAGTGACAATAAACGCGAACTGTCCACTTGATGTGCAACAGTTTGTACGAGTGGTGCTGCCTCGTTCGCAGTTGGCTGCGAACAAGACGGACCGCGCGGAAACGGATCCTCTCGTTCGCAGTTGAAACGGATCCTCCTGCCAGAGCGGGTGCTGTGGGTTCTTTGTCGGCAGCACCGACGGCGACCGTAAATCAGGCCGGCACCGGCCCACCGACAAATTGACTCGACCTGGAGGGTGGTGCCGCCGCCCCCCGCCTCGCTCTTCCGGGGCTTTACGACTGAGCTCGGGCGCCGTCTCGTCCGTCGGGCTTTGAAAGGTGCGCTTCCGATGTAGCGGCGGCAAGTCGTGACTTGTCGGCGCGGGGATGCGCGTGTAGCTCGTTTGTCGAAGGACTGGAGACCCGATTGAGCGAGGGCACGGGGTCGCCCTCTTTTAGCGTTCGAATATCCCCCGCGAACGTTGATGTGAGAGTCGTGAACGAAGCGGTTTTAGTGAGACTTTGTGCGTCGGAGGAACCTCTCCTCTTGGGAGTCTTTTACCGGGTATTTGGGTGTCTGGAGGCGCTCGTAAGCTTCAACGTCAAATAAATTTTTAAACGAGTTTTTTCTTTTTTTTTTTTTTTTCGTTTTTGAGCGCTCGGTTTGCGTGCATCTAGCCGACTGCACTGCCACCCGAAAATGGTTTTTGCGGCAAAAAACAAAAAGCGAATTATAACATTTTATTTTTTTATTTTTTTTTTTTTTGAAGAGCTTCGAAGCAGTTCGCTTATAAAAAGCATCGAAAAAAAAAAATGGGGCAGTGTAATCTGGCGCAATTGTGTACGCCGAATCATATGTTTATCAACGAACCTAATTCCTTGCACGCGAGCTATGGGCAACCGCGTTTGTTAATAAATTATTCAGCATATTCAGTCGCTCGAAACTAAAAAAAAAGAAAAAGATGGCGCTGGAGGGGGTTGGTTCGAACGCAAGTGGTTCGTGTGCAGGGTTGGGCAGAAATACTCAAAAATGTATTTGGAAATACAAATACTGGGATACATTAAAATAGTAGCTAAAATACTGATACTAAGCTACATCTGCAAAAATGTATAGCGATACGTATCGGAAATACATTTTAAAAAGAGGCAAAAAGTATTTGGAAATACAAATACAGGAATACATTTTAGACAGGGCAGAAATACAAATACAGAAATACTGATAGTGCAATACATTTTCCAAATTTTTTGAGACGCCAACTGAGATGAAGCTTGAAGTTTGAAGTGCATGTTTTCGATCCCGAAATTACTTTCCTGGAGGCCTGGCACTTTGCCTTAAAGGTAGTGGTTTCGGACGACAAGGAGTCTTCAATGGGCCCAAAAAAAAACGTTCCATCAAGGGCTGACCGCGGTCCCTTCCATGACATCCTGTCTGTCTGACGAGGGAATCCTGTCAACATTGATCACATGATGTCAGGGTGGAATGAACTAGTATTCTTTTTCTGTAGGTGGTGGCCTTGAACATGACACTTTACCACGCTGCTGTATGAAAGGACAATACGTTGTAGGTTACCTCGCCGAAGATCGTGCATGCAGTGTCATTTGGAATTTTTGAGAATAGTGGACCACCTGAAGCATCTTGGAATACATGTCTTATCTTCTGTTGTGGTTGAAAAAACGATACGGTAGCATCCCTGTTCTGAAGGTCCTTACTACCGACCCTCCGCCAGCGACGCACGGATTGCAGTCCTCGAGTTTTGCCTAGCATTATCCAAACAGAGACCTCGTGGACTGCGAGCTGATATTGCCGGCACAGGTGCGAGCTGTCCGAGAAACAGCGGTCTCGAGACGAGTCGCAGGTGTACGAAGTCTGGGTCGGCACAGCGAGGCAACTTCTGGCCTCCTCCTGGGTTTCGGATCACCAGAGCAACAGGTCACGTTTACGTCGGCTGATGACGTACCCTTGAGCCGTGCAATGTTATGGGCGCAGCCGCAGATGCGTTGGAATATGTGTTAAACTTCACAGCGTGAGTTTTCCTACTATTTCAAGTCAACCACCGCCAGGCTGGTGCTGCAACGGAATGTGACTCAGCTTTGCCGGCTGGGTGTACTGTGTACGCCAAGGCGAGAGAGTCGGTTAGCAGCGGGCATTGGATGCCAGCAAACAATGACTCAAGAAATCCCTACCTAAGGACCTGCGACAGAAGATGCTCTGACTCCACTCCTGGCACGCCACCTGGTTCGAGTCCCCGATTACGCGACACTTCTTAGAAGAGAGAAGAGGACGCATAGAAAAATAGTTTGCAGAATCAAAAGGAACCTTGGTCGGCATAGTAACAATGCCCCAGCATCTCCTTGACTCCGGTACCCTCAGAAGTAAAAAAAAAAAAAAAAAAAAAAGCGTTCGGACCTGTTTTTTTTTTTTTTTTCGGGGGGGGGGGGGGGGGGGGGGGGAGAGAGTATTTCTCAAGAAATGTAACGAAGTACATTTTATCCTGATTGTATTGCGATACAAAGAAACATTTCAAATGTATTTCGATACAGGAATACAGATACTGGCGAAAAAATGTATCGCGATACAGAAATACAGATACGAAATGGATTTCTGAAATACTATCGCGATACATTTGTATCGCGATATTGTCCAACCCTGTTCGTGAGATGACCATAGCCAACGTGCCAGCTCGTTGCCGTTTCTGGACTGGCCCGAACGAGCATGAAGGGGGAAAAAACGAAGACCGTGCTGTCGGACAGGCGCTCGGCAATAACAACAGGTTCCGGACGCTCATCGACCTTCGCTGTCCCGCTTGCCGGAACAGAGCGGCCTCACTTCCCTCCACCACCGCGGAGGCGACTCCTAATGAGGTGGCCTTTCGCGTCTCATTGTAATTCCTGGCCCCATCATTTTTCCG